CTGTTACTTCTATAGCCGCCCCTTGTTTCCCAATGATTTTATGTTGGGATATGATAGGGGCTGATTTTCTGTGTGTGTCCAGCAACCACAGTTGTTCCAGGAGGGGATCACATTGGGGGTCGTACTGCATTGTGCAGTGGTATTCTGATTTTGTTCTTTCTGCTTTAGGTATCTCTGCTCTAATAAACCTACCCCATTTTTCCATTGTTTTATCTACTTCTCGTTTAATGCCTCCTAGCCTGTACACATTTGCTAGGTCTCCTGTCCTCATCATTTGCAAGTTTAACCCTGCTTTATCTATGATCACCCCTTCTGGAGTACAACAAATGTTTATGCTGATTTTACACAAAGCGTCTCTTCCTAATAGGTTGACAGGGGTGTGTTCTGATACTAATATGGGGAGGGTTGCGGAATTGTTGTCAGCTGTTAACCGAACTGGAGCTGTCATTGGAATTAACTATGTTTGTCCCGAGAATCCTACAGTTTTGGCATATTTGCCTGACATGGGGAGGTGAGAGGCACAATTTGGACTTACACAAGTGTAAGTGGCTCCAGTGTCTATCATCATGGGTGTGCCTCTGTCTTCTATTTGAACCTGCAGCATAGGTTCCTGATCAGCTCGAGTGGTTAGTACTGGAAACTGACCCTCTCCTGTAAGATTCTCTGGGCACCCCTAGTACCCTTGGTTGCTTCTCACCGGCTGGGGCATGGCCTCTACCACAGAATTTCGAAACAGGGTCATCATCAATGGGTCCACTTCTGGATCCCGTTTTGTCTCCAGCCTCCATCGTTTCAGCTGTCCATGTAGGTAGACAGATGGGCTCTCTGTTTCTCCCATCGCTTCCCCATTCAGGGACTTGGGGTCAATCCTTGCCAGATATTCCGCTCTCAGGGCCCGCCAAAATCCAGGGCGGTAGGTGTCAAAGTCCACTCCATCCCTCAGCGGATCTCCCACCGCCATTCTCAGGCCGCTGGCACACAGTACATCCTCCATCTTTGTTCCCACTACTCTTGCCAACAGTGCCTTCAGATCCCCCACAGCCAGTAGTTTCCCCATAGTTTCTTCCTCAAAGGTTCTTATCCACTTACCCGCCCCATCATGTATATCGGCAAGCGGGCGACCAATCCTTCCAGGTCCTGCGATCCCCACGGGACATAATGCCCTTGTGTGCCTCTTATCAAGGTTGGACATTGGCCCTATACTTTTCAGTTTTTTTCAGCGTTCTCCTATTCCGCAACCTTCCCTCTTCTCTTTCTTTATCATATGGCGTTTCCCTTAAATTAGCTGCTGCCCCTTCTTCTTCCCTTTCTAGCTCTCTGAGGTCCCGTTCTCTGGACATACTCCGTTCTTTTTCCTTTTTCTCTGTTTCTTTTTCCAGCCCTCTTTTCAGTCTTTTTATTTATCTGTCCACAAGCTTACTGGTCACATTAATTTCAGTTATCATATCTCCATCCAGGGATTCCTCACCATCTTCCTCATTTACCTGCATTCTCTCCAGGGCTTCTCTTACCCCTTCATAACAATCAAACCTTTCTGGGTTCATTTCTGTAATCTGCTCAGTCTTTCTTACCCTTTCTACACCCCTTTCTTTTGCTGGAGAAGGTGCAGATGGAGTCCTTCTCTCCTCTTCCAGTTCTATTTCTCCTTTTATTTCTACCACTCCAGACACTAGTGGGTACTGTCCGCTGGTGTATGGTGGGGGTCCTATGGACCAGTCCACTTTCTTTCTGTTTGTCTTTTCATCATCCTTTCTCAACATGCTCCTAGCCTTTCACATACTTTTTAGTAACCCTTCTCCTTGTGCCTGGAAATTATTTAGCACTTCCCTTTCTCTTTTTTTCAGTTTTTTTTCCCTTTGTCACCTGCTTTATAGTTCTTTATCACTGTGTCCATTTCTTCACATACTGAGACATCAAACGTTCCTCCTTTCGGCCATACTGTATTCATTTTCTTAGTGCGTTGCTCCGATTTTTTGGACATTTTTATCAATTCTTCTCTGCATACAGGGTATCTATATCCCCCAGGATTTGTACAAACAATAGCACGCAAGTATAAACACCATGGGACCACGCAGCCGTCATACCGCTCAGGAAGGAGACGCGTTCTGTCTCCTAGAGATGAACGTAATTTGGTGCGAAAAGTGCAAATCAATCCCAGAACAACAGCAAAGGACCTTGTGAAGATGCTGCAGGTACAAAATTATCTATATCCACAGTAAAACGAGTCCAATATTGACATAACCTGAAAGGCCACTCAGCAAGGAAGAAGCCACTGCTCCAAAACCGCCATAGAAAAGACAGACTACGGTTTGCAACTGCACATGGGGACAAAGATCGTACTTTATGGAGAAATGTCCTCTGGTCTGATTAAACAAAAATAGAGCTGTTTGGCCATAATGACTATCGTTATGTTTGGAGGAAAAAGGGGGTTGCTTGCAAGCCGAAGAACACCATCCCAACCGTGAAGCACAGGGATGGCAGCATCATGCTGTGGGGGTGCTTTGCTGCAGGAGGGACTGGTGCACTTCACAAAATAGATGGCATCATGAGGAAGGAAAATGATGTGGATATATTGAAGCAACATCTCAAGACATTAGTCAGGAAGTTAAAGCTTGGTCGCAAATGGGTCTTCCAAATGGACAATGACCCCAAGCATACTTCCAAAGTCATGGCAAAATGGCTTAAGGACAACAAAGTCATGGTATTGGAGTGGCCATGACAGAGCCTTGACCTCAATCCTATAGAAAATCTGTGGGCAGAACTGAAAAAGCGTGTGCGAGCAAGGAGGCCTACAAACCTGACTCAGTTACACCATCTCTGTCAGGAGGAATGGGCCAAAATTCACCCAACTTATTGTGGGTAGCTTGTGGAAGGCTACCAGAAACGTTTAAACAATTTAAAGGGAATGCTACCAAATATTAATTGAGTGTATGTAAACTTCTGACCCACTGGGAATGTGATGAAAGAAATAAAAGCTTAAATACATAACTCTCTACTATTATTCTGACATTTCACATTCTTAAAATAAAGTGGTGATCCTAACTGACCTAAAACAGGGAATATTTACTAGGATTAAATGTCAGGAATAGTGAAAAACTGAGTTTAAATGTATTTGGCTAAGGTGTATGTAAACTTCCGACTTCAACTGTATGTTTCAAGATATGTTTCATACATCATAGACAGGTGTAGTCACTTCGATACGTGATTTCATTCCACACGGAACACTTTGTTCAAGTAGGGCTAAAATAATCAGCAATCTGTAGGAAAAAAGTCTGCTATCCGATTCCTATAACTCAATACGTCATTTTACACATTGATTAGCCTATGTTAAACCCATAATGATTATGCTTATTGTTAAATGATTTTATAATATATGTAATTGAAAATACCTATAAGAGCTCCAGAGTTCCTCTGTGGAGATGAGAGAACGTTCCAGAAGGACAACAATCTCTGCAGCACTCCACCAATCAGGCCTTTATGGTAGAGTGGCCAGACGGAAGCCACTCCTCAGTAAAAGGCACATGACAGCCCGCTTGGAGTTTGCCAAAAGGCACCTAAAGGACTCACAGACCATGAGAAACAAGATTATCTGGTCTGATGAAGATTGAACTCTTTGGCCTGAATGCCAAGCGTCAAATCTGGAGGAAACCTGGCACCATCCCTACAGTGAAACATGGTGGTGGCAGCATCATACTGTGGGGATGTTTTTCAGCGGCAGGGACTGGGAGACTAGTCAGGATCGAGGGAAAGATGAACGGAGCAAAGTACAGAGAGATCCTTGATGAAAACCTGCGCCAGAGCGCTCAGGACCTCAGACTGTGGCGAAGGTTCACCTTCCAACAGGACAACGACCCTAAGCATACAGCCAAGACAACGCAGAAGTGGCTCCGGGACAAGTCTCTGAACGTCCTTGAGTGGCCCAGCCAGAGCCCGGACTTGAACCCGATCGAACATCTCTGGAAATAGCTGTGCAGCAACGCTCCCCATCCAACCTGACAGAGCTTGAGAGAATCTGCAGAGAAGAATGGGAGAAACTCCCCAAATACAGTTGTGACAAGCTTGTAGCGTCATACCCATGAAGACTTGAGGCTGTAATCGCTGCCAAAGGTGCTTCAACAAAGTACTGAGTAAAGGGTCTGAATACTTATGTAAATGTGATATTAAATTTTTTATATATGTGCAAACATTTCTAAAAACCAGTTTTTGCTTTGTCATTATGGGGTATTGTGTGTAGATTGATGAGGGGGGAAAAAACGATTTCCTCCATTTTAGAATAAGGCTGTAACGTAACAAAACGTGGTAAATGTCATGGGGTCTGAATACTTTCCGAATGCACAGTATATTTACAGTTTGTGACGGTGTGATATGGGGGTTGGAGACTTGTTTATTTAGACATTACAAAGAAAAACATTTATAAACAATGACAAAACTGCCATGTTGCACTGAGCCTTGCTGTTGGAAAACCACATCAGTGTATGACTTTTGGCTGTAGTTGATGCACCTCCACAAACTTCACTCCTTGACTTTCATCTGCAGTCGGTTGCTTCAGGCTTACCACTCAAACAAGCCCACGGACTTCTGCCCCTTTGAATCGTGCGCATCGTTTTCGTGACGTTGTCAGCTTACCCATCTATAAACTTCAGGTAGCAAATTGGCAATAAATAAATACAATTGTGGACCAAATTCAGCACGCTCACAAAATTCTTCACATAAATTCTTGACTTCATTGGCTTATTTTCGTGGATATATTTTGGCCAGACTAAAACCTCTCGCTTCGCCTCTTCCACTCTGCTGTACAGTCTTTGTTCATACTGTACTTATTATCATTGAGTCAGCCCCAGTTCTGTCTTGGCCAATCACATAAGGCGGTTCTGTACAACTGGAATATTGTCCTCAAAAAACGGGAACGATTAAAACGTTCTGGTTAGAAATATCAGTAGTGACTGTATTCAGCATTATTTCAGTGTCTCAAAATTATTAAATAACTATTTCATAAAGGAAATGTAATTGTTCTGAGCACTTATTTATTTCCTGGTTGGAAATTAATTGTTCTGAGCACTTATTTATTTCCTGGTTGGAGCATTCCATTACAAGAGTAAAACATCACTCAAGTATTTTACACTTGTATTTACATTCCTACAAAGCAGAATTGTCCAGTGTCAAAACAAATTAGCATTAAGAAGGCAAAGCTTACAAATACATAGATTGAGAAAAGTTTTCACATGTCCTTCTTTAGTATGTTCATAAAAATACACCTAACTGATAATACCAAGAAAAGTAACATCTTCATCTAGCCCTTGTAATCTCACCCCTATTGCTCTGAGTTCCATCCACCCTCAAATCCTCAGAGAATAACTAAAAAATATCCTCCTAATCGCTCCATATGCAATCTGTCTGTCACAAAGAGTAGCCATCCTCAATATAGACTGGGTTTTGACCTGGACATCTTGCCTTTCTTTTCACAACAGTATGATTGCCATTCATTTAGTGCTTAATTGTTCATCCTGAAATAGTTAATTTAGCAGAATTCTATCAATCGTGATGCCTTTGAGGGGCATGATTTTTCACTGGTTATTTTTCTTTGAAGAACTGAGGTCATCCTCAGCTGTCAGTCTTGTTGTAAACAGACCCATTTTAAATCAGATAGGGATAGGTGAAGCAATAATCAAGGAATCAATAGTCAATAAGCAGAATGATCATCATGGATCAGACGTGGTTGGTCCAGCATAGCTGGACATCCCTCTCTGTAGTCCCTCAGCTTTCTCTCTGTAGCTGTGGCGTCTCTAGACGTCGTAGAAGAGGCGAACCAAGTGATAGCGGATCCCGAAAGCCAATGCACTCCCCAGTACCTGAGACAGAGACAAATATGAATTATGTGTTAAAGGGTATTCGAAGATATCTTAGAAATGCTCACAAAAAGGGCTTCATATACACTACATGACCAAAAGTATGTGGACACCTGCTTGCCAAACATATAATTGCAAATTCATGGTCATTATTATGGAGTTGGTCACCCCTTTGCTGCTATAACAGCTCTACTGGGAAGGCTTTCCACTGGATGTTGGAACCTTCCTGCAGGGACTTTCTTCCATTCAGCCACAAGAGCATTAGTGATGTCGGGCACTGATGTTGGGCGATTCGACAAACCATTCCTGAACGGACCTCGCTTTGTGCATTGTCATGCTGAAACAGGAAAGGGCCTTCCCCAAACTGTTGTCACAAAGTCGGAAGCAAAGAATCGTCTAGAATGTCATTGTATGCTGTAGCGTTAAGACTTCCCTTCTCTGGAACTAAGGGGCCTAGCCCGAACCATGAAAAACAGCCCCAGACCATTATTCCTCCTCCATAAAACTTTACAGTTGGCACTATGCATTGGGGCAGGTAGCGTTCTCCTGGCATCCGCCAAACCCAGATTCGTCCTTCGGACTGCCAGATGGTGAAGCGTGATTCATCAATCCAGGAAACGCGTTTCCACTGCTCCAGAGTCCAATGGTGGCGAGCTTTACACCACTCCAGCCGACGCTTGGCATTGCGCATGGTGATCTTAGGCTTGTGTGTGGTTGCTCGGCCATGGAAACCCATTTCATGAAGCTCCCGACGAACAGTTCTTGTGCTGACATTGCTTCCAGAGGCAGTTTGGAACTCGGTAGTGAGTGTTGCAACCGAGGACAGACCATTTTTTACACGCTACCCACTTCAGCATTCAGTGGTTCCGTTCTGTGAGCTTGTGTGACCTACCACTTCCCGGCTGAGCCGTTGTTGCTCCTAGACATTTCCACTACACAAAAATAGCATTTACAATTGAACGGGGCAGCTCTAGCAGGGCAGAAATTTGACAAACTGACTTGTTGGAAAGGTGGCATCCTATGATGGTGCCACGTTGAAAGTCACTGAGATAAAGGCCATTCTACTGCAAACAATGAAGATTGCATGGCTGTGTGCTTGATTTTATATACCCTGTCAGCAACGGGTGTGGCTGAAATAGCCGAATCCACTAATCTAAAGGGGTGTCCACATACTTTTGTATATATAATGTACCTTAACTTATTCATAATATTGTAACAATATGGCCATTTTAGCAGACTAAGCGACTTACAGAACTGTCAACATTGACAGTGATACATATGTCACATACAGTACCAGTCAAAAGTTTGGAAACACCTACTCATTCCAGGGATTTTCTTTATTACATTGTAGAATAATAGTCAAGAGATCAAAACTATGAAATCACACATATGGAATAATGTAGTAACCAAAAAAGTGTTAAACAAATCAAAGTATATTTTATATTTGAGATTCTTCAAATAGCCACCCTTTGCCTTGATGACAGCTTTGCACACTCTTGGTATTCTCTCAACCAGCTTCACTTGGAATGCTTTTCCAACAGTCTTGAAGGAGTTCCCACATATGCTGAGCACTTGTTGGCTGCTTTTCCTTCACTCTGCGGTCTGACTCATCCCGAACCATCTCAATTCGGTTGAGGTCGGGGGATTGTGGAGGCCAGGTCATCTGATGCAGCACTCCATCGCTCTCCTTCTTGGTAAAATAGCCCCTACACAGCCTGGAGGTGTGTTGGGTCATTGTCGTGTTGAAAAACAAATGATAGTCCCACTAAGCCCAAACCAGATGGGATGGCATATCGCTGCAGAATGCTGTGGTAGCCATGCTGGTTAAGTGTGTTCTAAATAAATCACAGACAGTGTCACCAGCAAAGCACCCCCACATCATAACTCCTCCTCCTCCATGCTTTACGGTGGGAAATACACATGCGGAGATCATCCGTTCACCCACACCGCGTCTCACAAAGACACGGCGGTTGGAACCAAAAATCTCCAATTTGGACTCCAGACCAAAGGTCACATTTCCACTGGTCTAATTTCCATTGCTCATGTTTCTCGGCCCAAGCAAGTCTCTTCTTCTTATTGGTGTCCTTTAGTAGTGGTTTATTTGCAGCAATTCGACCATGAAGGCCTGATTCACACAGTCTCCTCTGAACAGTTTATGTTGAGATGTGTCTGTTTCTTGAACTCTGTGAAGCATTTATTTGGGCTGCAATTTCTGAGACTGGTAACTGTAATGAACTTATCTTCTGCAGCAGAGGTAACTCTGGGTCTTCCATTCCTGTGGCGGTCCTCATGAGAGCCAGTTTCATCATAGCGCTTGATTGTTTTTGAGACTGCACTCAAATGTTCTTGAAATTTTCCGGATTGACTGACCTTCATGTCTTAAAGTAATGATGGACTGTCGTTTCTCTTTGCTTATTTGAGCTGTTCTTGCCTTAATATGGACTTGGTCTTTTACCAAATAGGGCTATCTTCTGTATAAACCCCCCCCCTAGCTCCCTACCCTACCTCCCTACCTTGTCACAAAACAACTGATTGGCTCAAACGCATTAAGAAGGAAATAAATTACACAAATTAACTTTTAACAAAGCACACCTGTTAATTGAAATATATTCCAGGTGAAAACCTCATGAAGCTGGTTGAGAGAATGCCAAGAGTGTGCAAAGCTGTCATCAAGGCAAAGGGTGGCTATTAGAAGAATCTCAAATATAAAATATATTTTGATTTGGTTAACACTTTTTTGGTTACTACATGATTCCATATGTGTTATTTCATAGTTTTGATGTCTTCACTATTATTCTACAATGTAAAAAATTATTAAAATAAAGAAAAACCCTTGAATGAGTCCAAACTTTTGACTGGTAGCGTACATAATAACATTTTACTCAGAAATGAGACCTGTTGTAGCTACCTGTATGAGCAGCATGATGGTGGTGAGGTTTCTCTCGTGTGTGGGTCCCAGTATCTTCAGCACCAGGTTTATTAAGGTCATGTTGTTGCACTCCACAAACTCATCATCACCCTCCTGTCCACGCTTCACTTCCAGCACCCGCAGCATCTCTGCCACCTGATGGGTGGAAAATACACAACAGCACAAATTATATTCATTATCCACCCAAGTCAAAGCTTTCTTTCACTCATATCAATCTACCTGACCAAAGTCAAACATTTGCACTGATTCCACCTTTTTGGACAAACAAATACAAAAGTAAAATTCATACTACAACATGTGTACATATTGGTTTACCTGTAAAATAAGATTTCCCAATTTGGAGAGGTCCCTCCTTTTAAATTTAGACCAACTCATTCCTAGTTTTCCTGTGTCTGGGTTCAGTCTTCATCCATCAGGCAAATTTAGGAGAAGAAAAAACAACAATGAGGATCACTTTTATAACAAGGGATTCATCATGGAATTGTATCATAAAAGTACTATACACTATACGATACGTATACTATATCAATGCTATCATAGGAGTAAGGGAGAAAGAGCTGTAATGTTACCTGGGGAGGCGGTGCCTGGGACAGGGTACTACATGGAATAGCTGGGGTAGTGAGTAGACAAAGTTGACCACTTGAGGAATGAAGAAGAGCAGCATGGTTTTGCTGAAGTGCCCCAGGATTCCTACCACTGCAAAGGTCATCCCCGCAAAGTAGCAAAAGGTGTCTCCCACAAACACGGATGAAGGGTACCTGTAGTAAAGGCAACACATGATGTAGTGTATGTTGGCAATCATTTACAACATGCTTTTTAACAGCAACACCATTTTACAATAGCCGTGTCTGAATCCCTATACATGCATTCTAAATAGTAGGCATTTTAGGTATGCAAAAATAGAACTTTTTACAGTACGTGAAATTTAAAAAAAATCGAGTATGCTTTAAATGCCAGAATGTTATACTCATTTTGGTTTTTCATTTAGCAGAATTCGCTGCACACTTTTGAGGAAGATAATTTTCTTTTGACAACAGCTGATAATCAGCTGATAATGAGATAAGGGGACACACTGTACCCAAATGAACGAATGGCGGTAATCAACGCAATTGATTAATTGAGATTTTGTTTAGAAATGTTTACAAATTAATTTAAAATGAAAAGCTGAAATGTCTTGAGTCAATAAGTAGGCATTCAACCCCTTTGTTATAGCAAGCCTAAATAAATTCAGAGTACAAATGTGCTTAACAAGTCACATAATAAGTTGCATGGACACACTGTGTGCAATGTGTTTAATCCTTAAGAGTCTATTGATGCACCCGTGTATAAATCTAATTAACCAAATAAAAAAATCCCCATCAAAATCCGTCAGTTTAAGCTAGAGATACTGTGGGGAAAAAAAGTATTTAGTCAGCCACCAATTGTGCAAGTTCTCCCACTTAAAAATATGAGAGAGGCCTGTAATTTTCATCATAGGTACACGTCAACTATGACAGACCAAATTAGATTTTTTTTCTCCAGAAAATCACATTGTAGGATTTTTAATGAATTTATTTGCAAATTATGGTGGAAAATAAGTATTTGGTCAATAACAAAAGTTTCTCAATACTTTGTTATATACCCTTTGTTGGCAATGACACAGGTCAAACGTTTTCTGTAAGTCTTCACAAGGTTTTCACACACTGTTGCTGGTATTTTGGCCCATTCCTCCATGCAGATCTCCTCTAGAGCAGTGATGTTTTGGGGCTGTCGCTGGGCAACACGGACTTTCAACTCCCTCCAAAGATTTTCTATGGGGTTGAGATCTGGAGACTGGCTAGGCCACTCCAGGACCTTGAAATGCTTCTTACGAAGCCACTCCTTCGTTGCCCGGGCGGTGTGTTTGGGATCATTGTCATGCTGAAAGACCCAGCCACGTTTCATCTTCAATGCCCTTGCTGATGGAAGGAGGTTTTCACTAAAAATCTCACGATACATGGCCCCATTCATTCTTTCCTTTACACGGAACAGTCGTCCTGGTCCCTTTGCAGAAAAACAGCCCCAAAAGCATGATGTTTCCACCCCCATGCTTCACAGTAGGTATGGTGTTCTTTGGATGCAACTCAGCATTCTTTGTCCTCCAAACACGACGAGTTGAGTTTTTACCAAAAAGTTATATTTTGGTTTCATCTGACCATATGACATTCTCCCAATCCTCTTCTGGGTCATCCAAATGCACTCTAGCAAACTTCAGACGGGCCTGGACATGTACTGGCTTAAGCAGGATTTGAGTTCCTGGCGGCGTAGTGTGTTATTGATGGTAGGCTTTGTTACTTTGGTCCCAGCTCTCTGCAGGTCATTCACTAGGTCCCCCCGTGTGGTTCTGGGATTTTTGCTCACCGTTCTTGTGATCATTTTGAACCCACGGGGTGAGATCTTGCGTGGAGCCCCAGATCGAGGGAGATTATCAGTGGTCTTGTATGTCTTCCATTTCCTAATAATTGCTCCCACAGTTGATTTCTTCAAACCAAGCTGCTTACCTATTGCAGATTCAGTCTTCCCAGCCTGGTGCAGGTCTGCAATTTTGTTTCTGGTGTCCTTTGACAGCTCTTTGGTCTTGGCCATAGTGGAGTTTGGAGTGTGACTGTTTGAGGTTGTGGACAGGTGTCTTTTATACTGATAACAAGTTCAAACAGGTGCCATTAATACAGGTAACGAGTGGAGGACAGAGGAGCCTCTTAAAGAAGAAGTTACAGGTCTGTGAGAGCCTGAAATCTTGCTTGTTTGTAGGTGACCAAATACTTATTTTTCACCATAATTTGCTAATAAATTCATAAAAAATCCTACAATGTGATTTTCTGGTTTTTCTTCCCTCATTTTGTCTGTCATGGTTGACGTGTACCTATGATGAAAATTACAGGCCTCTCTCATCTTTTTAAGTGGGAGAACTTGCACAATTGGTGGCTGACTAAATACTTTTTTTCCCCACTGTATGTTTTTTTATTGTATGGGCTGCGTCTCAATCCACCACATCTGCCTATGTCGGCCTTCCTCATCTGCAGTGGAAGGTGGCCGAGTTACAGCGGTGTTCATCAGACCATGAGAGATATCGAAAATCGGTCTTCTCACAAAAACGTCTGTAGCGTCCGAAAGGTTTGGCCTAAAATAAGAGGAGACTCTCACGAATACCATGGTGTTCTACGTTTTGCTCTACTACCCCAACAAGTCTCAGTGGACTCGTCTGAACGTAACTAATACAAATGAAGGTAGTTTTGTGCCCCAAAAAATAAGGGGTTAAATGTGTCAAAAAAAAAATCTAAAATATTTCTCATAGATATAGGACAGACACTTTATTCCTTATTACTTATTTGTGACTTTCTTTTTTGCCATTTATGAATGTGTTATTCAATGTGTTTCTATGGGCTATAGTAGTAAAAGCCAAATTCAATATTTGATCAAAACATTTTCTTAAATATTTGTTTTGACAGCTTAAAGAATTTGAAGACTAATGTGAAATATTGTACAATCCAGGTGCGCAAAGCTCTTAGAGACTTACCCAGAAATGCTCACAACTGTAATCGCTGCCAAAGGTGATTCTAACATGTATTGACTCAGGGGTGTGAATCCTTATGTAAATTAGATATTTCTTTATTTCATCTTCAATAAATTTGCAAACATTTCTAAAACCATTTTTTCAATTTGTCATTATGGAGTATGGATGGAAAAAACTTTTTTAAATCCTTTTTGAATTCAGGCTGTAACACAACAAAATGTGGAATACGTCAAGGGGTTCTGAAGGCACTGTATGTTGATATTTGTTGCTTACTGCATTCATTTTTATTAAACAGCGCATTCTAAATAGTATGTAGCACAATTAGTACACAGTATGTCGTTTTAGTAAGTAGTAGGAAAGACTGATTTCGGACACGGCCAGTGTCTCCAACTCACCAGTTGTGGTAGAAAAGTGCTAAAGTTGTGAAGAAGAACGGGAGCATGAAGTATAGGGAGAAAATGTGGTCGTCTCTGTAGTCTCCTGCAAAAGTCAAAAAGAGTGTGCACAATTACATCCACATTTCTATATATCAGACCAGGAAAGGTTACTTGATTTTACATGGAAATGTAGCTACATTTGGTAGGATGTGTACACACATGATTGGAGCACTGAGAACAGGGGATGTTGATGAAAGATAGAAAAAACGCCACTTACCGCCAAGCTCAAGCAAGTTGAAGATGATGATGGAGCCGGAGATGAAGAGTGCCTGTCCTGACTCGATGCCGTTGATGCCCGCCAGGATGTTGATGGCATTAGTACAGAACACTGCCAGCATGCCCATGTAGACATAGTAGAGAATACCTACAGAGAAGAGACAATAACATCAGTCAGCATAAGACGTACAACAAAGCATGGAGGATGACTTGCAATACTGAAATTGATACAACACTGCCAGCGGGCAAAACTGGTTGAAATGACGTCATTACAACCAGATAACAAATAGACATACTGTTTGTAAACTAGTTGGAATGTACATAATTTCAACCAGCTTTGCCTGAAGCAACACTATGGATCTTTCTAATCCAGCTCTCCTGTGGCTGTAGGTAAACTAAGTGGACCTTAAAGAGAAATTTGCATTGTGGCCATTGTGGATAAACGGAATGTGATACAGATGACGTTTTGTTTGCCTCTCCAGTCTCTCATTTTTATTGTGACACTCACTCACCCAGATCCAAGTGCATCCCCAGTAAGAGCCTGAAGGGTTTGGGCACCACAATGACAGTGTTGCCGAAGTTGGTGAAGTAGACCATGAGCAGCGGCAGGGAGGCCATGGTGGGCAGCAGGAGCTTGTGTCTCCAGCGCAGGTTCAACACGTCATCAGCGAAACCCAGGAAGATCATACAGCAGATGGCGAGTAGAGCACCGATTAGCTGGACAAACTGGTCAGGACAGAACAAGCAGGCAGAAATGTTGAGCAATGGCAGCCTGTCATGTTATAAATGATCCTGAAAACAGGCCAGATACTGTGTCTGGGATTTTTTTGTCTTGCAGTCTCTGAGGTGTTTTTGTCTATGATTTTTGTGTATCGTGTTTTGTGTGGACCGCAGGAAGAGTACCTGTTGCTATAGATGGGTTTGCTGACAACGTCACGAAAAACGATTTGCACGCTTCAAATGGGGCAGAAGTCCATGTGTTGTTGTGATTCTGGATGGTCAGATAGCTAGCAACAATGACAAGAAGCTGCCATGTCGGTATCGTAGGTGGCTTGTTTTAACTAGTTTTATCTTGTTCTTGGTACCATGTCTTGTTTTGAGGTGTTTTGACTAATATGGCTAAATATTAGCTAGCTAACCAACAACTGTACTGATGTATTTGAGAGAAAACAAGTGTTCATTGTGCACATTTATTTATTATTGGAGACAAAATAGTTTACATGTTGTCAACGATCTAAGCCAATCCCCTCTGTTTTAGCGCACTCGTCAGTTCTTTTTTGTTTTCGTAACGGGTCGCCAAACGACCTATGAGAACTCCTTTCCCTTCACGTGATGTGATTGAGATGCTTAATATCAAAAGATGTTTAAAGTCACACCACACCCTTACTGTACCCACATGACCTGTCACTATAAAAGGCGGTGTGGCGTGACGTACTGCCTTTTGTTCACGCTCACGTTTACAATATATATATATATATATATATATATATATATATATATATATATATATACAAAAGTATGTGGACACTCCTTCAAATTAGTGGATTTGGCTATTTCAGCCACACCCGTTGCTGACAGGTGTATAAAATCGAGTACACAGCCATGCAATCTCCATAGACAAACATTGGCAGTAGAATGGCCTTGCTGAAGAGCTCAGTGACTTTCACCGTCATAGGATGCCACCTTTCCAACAAGTCATGTCATCAAATTTCTGCCCTGCTAGAGCTGCCCCGGTCAACTATAAGTGCTGTTATTGTGAAGTGGAAACATCTAGGAGCAACAACGGCTCAGCCGCTAAGTGGTAGGCCACACAAGCTCTCAGAATGGGACTGCCGAGTGCTGAAGCGCGTAAAAAACGTCTGTCCTCGGTTGCAACACTCACTGCCTCTGGAAGCAACGTCAGCACAAGAACTGTTCGACGGGAGCTTCATGAAATGGGTTTCCAAGGCACACAAGCCTAACATCACCATGCCCAATGTCAAGCATCGGCTGGAGTGGTGTAAAGCTCGCCACCATTGGATTCAGGAGCAGTGGAAATGTTTTGGAGTGATGAATCACGCTTCACACCATCTGGCATTCCGATGGACGAATCTGGGTTTGGCGGATGCCAGGAGAACGCTACCTGCCCCAGTCATAATGGGGTATTGTGTGTAGATTGATGAGGGGGGAAAAAAACAATTTTATCAATTTCAGAATAAGGCTGTAACGTAACAAAATGTGGAAAAAGTGAAGGGTCTCCTGAGTGGCGCAGTGGTCTAAGGCACTGCATCGCAGTGCTAACTGTGCTACTAGAGATCCTGGTTCGAATCCAGGCTCTGTCGCAGCCGGCCGCGACCGGGAGACTCATGGGCGGCGCACAATTGGCCCAGCGTCGTCCAGGGTAGGGGGAGGGAATGGCCGGTAGGGATGTAGCTCAGTTGATAGAGCATGGCGTTTGCAACGCCAGGGTTGTGGGTTCGATTCCCACGGGGGGGGGGCAGTATAAAAAAAAAAAAAAAAAAAAAAAAAAAAAAAAATATATATATATATATATATATATATATATGTATTCACTAACTGTAAGTCGCTCTGGATAAGAGCGTCTGCTAAATGACTAAAATGTAAATGTAAATGTAAATGTAAGGGGTCTGAATACCTTCCGAATGCACTGTATATCCTCTATTCTAGTCAAGGCTCATCCTATATAACTAATGCTGTACACACCTTTTCTATTCATATACTGTCCATGTCTATACACACCATCATATACATAAACTCTGCAAAAAAAGAAACGTCCTCTCACTGTCAACTGCGTTTATTTTCTGCAAACTTTAACACAGCTTTAGAACAAAGTTCTACAGTATTAGTAAAAATGTGATCGATACATGTGGGTGATCTTGTTCCTGTAGCGTTTTTAAACACCCAGGTAGGTTGATTAATAACCTGAACCAGATTACAGGCACTGGTTACAGTAAGAAGCTTCCTCTTGAGCAGACAGCTTGATGAAAACCAGTCAATATTCAGGTCCCCAAGAAAGTAGACCTCTCTGTTTACATCACATACACTATCAAGCATTTCACACATATTATTTAGATACTGACTCTTCGCACTTGGTGGCCTATAGCAACACCCCAAAAGAAAAGGCTTTAGATGTGGCAAATCAACCTGCAACCACAACACTTAAATAACACTTGACATAAGATATTCTCTAAGCATTACAGGGATATGCCTCTGAATATATACAGCAACACCTCCCCCATAAGCATTTCTGTCTCTTCTATAGATGTTATACTCTTGTATTGCTACTGCTTTATCATCAAATGAATGATCTAAGTGAGTTTCAGAAATGGCTAATATATGAATGTTATCTGATGTTAGCAAGTTATTGATTTCATGAACCTTATTTCTAAGGCTACATATATTAATATGGGCTATTTTCAGCCCTTTCCTGGGTAGCTTATCAGAGATAGACATAATACTGAATTGAGCAAACAAAGCAAGAGAAAAAAATATACATTCAGCAGTCCATTAATCAATTGGGGTGTGTGTGTGTGCTGCGGGGTTGAAGCTACGAACCCATTGGCTTGGCTCTCTCATCCCTTCCAGGCTTTTGGGAGGGAGGGTGGACAATGAGCCTGTCATAGTGGATGTAAGCAATGTCCCCACGCGCTCTGGCAGCTTTCATGGCTGGGATAAGTTCTTTCCTCTTCTGGCGCACAGCTTCAGGATAGTCCTTGTTGAGAAAGATATACGTTCCTCTCAAGTTCTTGGCTCTTTGGAGAACAGCTACCTTGACCTTGAACCTCAGGAACTTGACCACTATCGGCCTGGGCCTGTAACCTGGGCTGGTGGTGGGTTTTCCAGTTCTTTGGGCACGCTCCACCTCAATCTACCTGTGGTCCATCTTCAATTTCTCAGATATCATTTCCCTCACTTTGTCCTCAGACTCCGTCCAGGTCTCATGTGGAGATTCTGCAATTCCGTCCACAACCATGTTGTTACACCTTGATTGTCCCTCGAGATGTCTGATTTATCCTATCATGGATTCACACACAGAACTGATGTCCTCTATTGTTTTGTTTTGTTAGGTATTACTGCACCGTTGGAGCTAGAAACATAAGCATTTCGCTGCACCTGGAATAACATCTGCAAAATAGATGTACGCACCAATAACATTTATTTGGGAGTTAGACTTATGAGACCACCATTTGAGCCCCGGTCTTCACTTGAGCTATGTGAGCTCTCAGTCAAGAATGCCTTTCTATTGGCTATTGTTTCAGCCAAGCGTGTTAGAGAATAACATGTGTTTTATACCCATCCTTCATGCCTCACTTTAGCAGAAGATGGATCTGAGGCAGTGCTTCGGCCAAATCCAGCATTCTTACCTAAGGTGCTTTCATTATCACATCCTAATCAGCCCTTAATCATAGCGACATTTCACCCGCCTCCCCACAGGAGAGTCGTGAGTTGCATACACTTTGGTAAGGGCATTGAGTGCCTATCTTGCTGCAAAAAGAACTGTTCAAACAGAACAGCTTTTTGTGTATTATGAGGAGAACACCAAAGGGTGCACTGTCTCGAAGAAGAGATTGGCACATTGGGTTACGCTGCAGCAAGTAGACCAACTTCCAGACGGTGTGGTAGCACACCAGGGGTATGGCCACTTCATGGGCCCTGTTCAGAGGGGCCTCCCTGGACTCCATCTGTGCTGCTGCAAGTTGGGCAACACCCATGACTTTCATGAGGTACTACAGAATCAATGTTATGTCCACACCATCAGTGGGGTCTGTGGTTCTGGACACGGCACGCTCTCTCAACCCAGATAAGTGAGAATACCGTGAACCTTGAACCGCTTGGTGCTGTTGCACCCAAATGAAGCCTCATGTTGTAAGTTCTAACTTTCAGCTTGCTTATACACTTGTATACCACAGTTGAAAGTCTGTGTTACCCTGTTGGGTAATTATATTCTATTGCATCCTGTGGTGGATACAAGGACATCCCAGGGACTCATCTGGACTAAGTTAAATGGTGAGTTATCCCACTCTTTGGAACAGCATCTCCCATAGGTCGTTTGGCGACCCATTACGAAAACGAAAGAGAACGTTGGGTTATGGATATAACCTTGGTTCTCTTAGTAGAGTAACGGGTCGCCAAACTTTCATGTCATTCCTACACCTCCGTGGGGTTCAAGTGAGGTAATAGACAGAATGTCACGCCACACCGCCTTTTAAAGGTCACGTGGGTACAGAAAGGATGTGGCATAACTTTAAACATCTTTGATATTAAGGGAAGTTCCCATAGGTCGTTTGGTGACCCGTTATTCTACTTAGAGAACCAAGGTTACATCTGTAACCCAACGTTTTGTTGCTAAACAACCTAACCGTCTATTGCAAAAGCAAATGGGGATACAAATAAAGAAATAACAGGCAGAATTATAGGTACAGAATAGGTAACTGCCCCAGTTCCCTCACCCACCTCATTGTGTGGGAAGCCAGTGCACTGCTCTTCTACAAAGCAGCTGAGGAAAGGCACTGGGATGAAGCAGAACATGATAATGAGGAACACGGTCCCACTGATGACGCCCTGAGACTCTGGACTGCAGAGAGGAGAAATTAAAATAAGTCAGGACAAAACCACAACAAACCACAAAAAAACGAGCCAATGTAAAATAGATTAACATAGGCTACTGGATAGTAGATAATTGGTAAACAATTGATATTGATAAACGTACACTTCCTTCTTGTTAGTTTTGTTCAGATCCATCCCATAGAGCCTGGCTGAGATGAAGTGGTCTTTGAAGGCTGGAATTAGCTTTAATGTGGCCAAGGACCCAAGTGCAGACATGCACCCGTTGATAACAAGGGGTAGGACAGGAATTGGCGACATGTTTTCTGGATATTCTTAAGACTTGCCTGGATGAGGTTATATCTGATACCTATCTAACTACCAGTGTTAGATAACTTGCTATCATATATCTCTAGCTAACTAGCTAGCTGACGTTATCTAAGGAAGCCTACCCTCAAACTTTGAGCAAGCTAGCTTACACTGTCAACAACCCCACATAATGTGTCTTCATATTGAACGAATGAGCTTTAACAATTGTAGCTAGAAACTACAGTTGTGTTTATCTGGCAAGCTAGTTAACCTTAACTAGCAAACTAAATGATCTGACAGGTAGCTAGCTTGTACATAACGTTACTGTCTCTCTTTCTTTGCACCAGCATTCGCAGAATCCTCTACCGAAGCATGTGTCTAATCATTTTTCAAATAATAGAAATCGCGAAATTACATGCATATTGTCCGAAAAATACGGCTAGCTAAAACGACAATCCCTATACTGTCAGTTGTTGTCCTTTCCTACTTTATAGCTCAATGATTCCTAGTCGAGCCGTGGGACAACCATAGAGAATGATAGAGAGTGCATCGCCATATACTTTCCATTATGGTGTCTGTGGGCGCACGTGCAGCGCTGAGGCAATCTCCATTTTGAAGTAGTCCATTTTCTTCTTCACGATTGGCTGATCCCTCCTGATGACCCGGTTGGACATGACACCAACATGGTCATCAGGAGGGATCAGCCAATGAAGTTGGAAATACCACCCAGTTGACCACATTAAAATGGTGGAAATTGCTTTTAAGCCACTAGAGGCCTCTATTATTCTCTATGGGGAGAACCGAAGTTCCACGTCTACTTCCGGTTATGTGAACTGTTTTTTCTCTTGCAAAACAAAAACCCTGGTAGGGTAGTTATTAATGTGACAACTCTTTTCACAATTATTTCTCACGAAACTGCTTTCAGTATCCATCAAAATTAAACCTCTTCATTTATATCGAAAATGGGGTTTAATCGGTTTCAGACGGACGCATTACAGGGTAACAAGGAAGTTTGCTTTAACTCTTCTTCTTTGTTATTGAATTTATCGTAAATCCAATGTCATTGGAATACAATGCCTCTTACTGTTTGACTGTATGTACAGCGGTAGGCGCGACTTTTTCCTCTCCTCTGGTAATACTTTAGTTAGTTTACATTATTACCAGGCTGATAATTGCATTGTTTGCTCTATAACATGTTAGTTCATATGCCTTGCGACCGTGATATATAGGCCTAAAGGCCGAGACTATAAGACAATGGCAGAATAAATTCAACCACACCTTTGTTTCATCACAAAACCGGAGAGCAACCTCTGTCCGGTGAAGTCCACGAAGCATATTGCATGTAACAAACAGTTACATGACCTACAGCATGGTCAAGCAAGTTAATGTTTCCGACATTTTCAGACCACTAAACAACTATTGATTTAGAACCACGGAGCGTTTACCACAAGTCGCAAAGAAAACAGGAGCTGCCTCCACTATTCCAGCAACATTTCAACATCATCAAATCACCTATGTTTGGTCTAATACAGTGACAACTAAAAGATACCAAAAAAAAACGATTTAGTCCAATCAACATAAGCTAAATATGATGTGACTGTCCATGGTTCTGATTTCTGTGTATATGTTTGTGTGTGTGTGTGTGTGTGTGTGCGCATGTTTGTGCAAGTCGGAAAAAAAACATGTTGACTCACCCTACTTGTAGAGAAACGTCAATACCATCCTCCTCTCTTTGATGTAGACAAAACAATATATCACTGTCATACAGTATATGGTTTTATTTTTTGTTGTCCCAGGCTACTTGGCTAAAATGCTTGCTTGCTAGACTAACTTCCTTTCATGGGCAACATTAGCTAGTTAACATTAGCCTTCTACATCCTAGCTACATATTGAACTTCCATCCTCTCAGGCCAGGGGCACAATGTATGAATTGATGGTTGGATCAGAATCGCAGTTATAATCATTGGCCAGTACGGAGAATTAAGTCCAAATCCCTATCTCCATCAATGGCTGTAAGGTTCTGTATTTATTTTCTTAGTTCACCTTGTGTTCTTGAACGTAGCCCTGTTTCTTTGTGTTCTTGAACATAGTCCTGTCTTTCATTTTTGTTCATTGATTTCACCTGTGTTAGTTACTCACCTGGTCTCATCAGCTCCTTATTTAGTTCAGTTCTTTCTGTTTGTGCCTTGTGAGGTATTGTTCATTTTGACTCTACTAAGCCTTTTCCTAGCTCGTTTGTGAGAACCAGTTTTAGCCTTCAGTCCTAGTTTTGTTTCACCTGCCTGTTTGCCTACCTGTGTATGACCATTGCCTTCCTGTTGTCACGATCGTCTGAAGGAGCGGACCAATACGCAGCGCGTGGAGTGAACATGATGACTTTATTTACTTAAAGCAACCACGAAGAAAAAACAACAAATGACGATCCGTGAAGTTCTATACAGAATACTACTAACAGCAACAAAGAAACAATAACCCACAACCACAAGGTGAAAACACACAGAATATATATGGCTCCCAATCAGAGATAACGAGCCGAACAGCTGACACTCGTTACCTCCGATTGGGAGTCATTAACCAAATTACCAAAAACACAAACAAATGAAACTCACCCCTACCCAACACCACCAAATGAAATACACCCAAAAGAAAAATGAACAACCCTGGCTCAAAATCAACGTCCATAGAGCCAGAGTGTTACAGTACCCCCCCCTAAAGGTGCGAACTCCGGGCGCACCAACATCAGGACTAGGGGAGGGTCTGGGTGGGCGTCTGTCCATGGTGGTGGCTCTGGCCCCGGTCGTGATCCCCACCCCACCACAGTCACAACCTGCTTCGGTAGCCTCCTCCCAATGACCACCCTCCACCTAACCCCACCTGGACTAAGGGGCAACCCCGGACTAAGGGGCAGCATCGGCCTAAGGGGCAGCACCGGGATAAGGGGCAGCACCGGGATAAGGGGCAGCACCGGGACAAGGGGCAGCACCGGACTACGGGGCAGCACCGGGCTAAAGGGCAGCACCGGACTAAGGGGCAGCACCGGACTAAGGGGCAGTACCGGACTACGGGGCAGCACCGGGCTAAGGGGCGGCACGGACTCAGGGGCAGCACCGGACTAAGGGGCAGCACCGGGCTAAAGGGCAGCACCGGGCTAAGGGGCAGCACCTGACTAATGGCGGATCCTGGCTGGCTGGTCTCTGGCTGATCCTGGCGGGACGGCTCTGCGGATCCTGGCGGGACGTCTCTGGCGGATCCTGGCGGGACGGCTCTGGCGGATCCAGGTGGACGGCTCTGCGGATCCTGGCGGGACGGCTCTGGCGGATCCTGGCGGGCCGCTCTGGCGGATCCTGGCTGGACGGCTCTGGCGGATCCTGGCTGGACGGCTCTGGCGGATCCTGGCGGGACGGCTCTGGCGGATCCAGGCTGGACGGCTCTGGCGGATCCTGGCGGGAACGGCTCTGGCGGATCCTGGCGGGACGGCTCTGGCGGATCCGGGCTGGCCGGCTCTGGCGGATCCTGGCTGGCCGGCTCTGGCTGATCCTGGCTGGACGGCTCTGGCGGGACGGCTCTGGCGGATCCGGGCGGGACGGCTCTGGCGGATCCTGGCTGGCCGGCTCTGGCTGATCCTGGCTGGACGGCTCTGGCGGATCCTGGCGGGACGGCTCTGGCGGATCCGGGCTGACCGGCTCTGGCGGATCCTGGCTGGCCAGCTCTGGCGGATCCTGGCTGGCTGACGGGTCTGGCTGCTCATGGCTGGCTGACGGATCTGGCTGCTCATGGCTGGCTGACGGATCTGGCTGCTCATGGCTGGCTGACGGATCTGGCTGCTCATGGCTGGCTGACGGATCTGGCTGCTCATGGCTGGCTGACGGATCTGGCTGCTCATGGCTGGCTGACGGATCTGGCTGCTCATGGCTGGCTGACGGGTCTGGCTGCTCATGGCTGGCTGACGGATCTGGCTGCTCATGGCTGGCTGACGGATCTGGCTGCTCATGGCTGGCTGACGGGTCTGGCTGCTCATGGCTGGCTGACGGGTCTGGCTGCTCATGGCTGGCTGACGGATCTGGCTGCTCATGGCTGGCTGACGGGTCTGGCTGCTCATGGCTGGCTGACGGATCTGGCTGCTCATGGCTGGCTGATGGTGCTGGCTGGGAGGCTGGCGGTGGAGGCGGACCCCAGCCTCGGATAGCAGTCATCACCTCCAGCAGGGCGGCTCCCATCTGCAGGATCTGCTCTTTCTGGTTCCGAACCTGAGCTTCCAGTCTAGTATGGGCTGCGTCGGCTCCTGCTGATTCCATAGCAGGTGTCTGATTCTGTCTGGCGGACGGCTCTGCAGGCTCATGGCAGACGGACGGCTTTGCAAGCTCAGTACAGACGGGCGGCTTATGCAGCGCTTGGCAGACGGGCCGTTCAGATGCCCTAGGGCAGACGGCAGACTCTGGCCGGCTGGCGACGCACATCGTGGACCTGGTGCGTGGAGTAGGAACAGACCGGCCCGTACCGGGAACACCCACCACTGGCCTTAACTGGGGATCAAGAACGGACCGGACCAGACTGGGAACACACTTCAGTCTCTCATGCCGTGCCACAACAACTTCCCTCCCTCTACTCGCCAATGGCTCCCGTAATCCGATAGCCTTCTCTCAAGCCATGTGCCCCCCCCAAAAAATTTTTTGGGGAGTAACCACGGGCTTCCAGCCTCGACTCCGCGCTTCCTCTTCGTACCACCTCCTCTCGGCTGCAGCTGCCTCCAGCTCTTCACGAGGGCGGTGATATTCCTCCTCATACCACCTCCTCTCGGCTGCAGCTGCCTCCAGCTCTTCACGAGGGCGGTGATCTTCCACCGGTTGTGCCCAAGGACCCTTTCCAGCCCGAATCTCCTCCCAAGTCCAAAAATCCTTAGGAGGCGTCCATACATCCTGCGTAGGTAGGTCCTGTTGCCGCTTGTTACGCCGCTTGGTCCTCTTGTGGTGGGTTATTCTGTCACGATCGTCTGAAGGAGCGGACCAATACGCAGCGCGTGGAGTGAACATGATGACTTTATTTACTTAAAGCAACCACGAAGAAAAACAACAAAGACGATCCGTGAAGTTCTATACAGAATACTACTAACAAGCAACAAAGAAACAATAACCCACAACCACCAGGTGAAACACACAGAAATATATATGGCTCCCAATCAGAGATAACGAGCCGAACAGCTGACACTCGTTACTCCGATTGGGAGTCATTAACCAAATTACCAAAAACACAAACAAATGAAACTCACCCCTACCCAACACCACCAAATGAAATACACCCAAAAGAAAAATGAACAACCCTGGCTCAAAATCAACGTCCATAGAGCCAGAGTGTTACACCTGTGACCATGATTCCTGCCTTCTACGAAGGCATAATAAACACCTGCCGCACGTGAATCTACAACTTTTTCTCCATGAGTATGTATTCATTACAATGGCTAATTTAGGAAAGGGACAATTTTAGCCAACTAACTAGCCACTGGAGGACAACAACACAATGAGATGCAACAATTCAAGTTGTTTCTGTCAATGATGTATGCTCTGGATGCGATTTGATAAGAGTGAATCCAAATCCAAACTGGCTTCCCTTGACACTTT